TTGTTAACATAAGTTATAATCATGAATGCTTGACGAGATTTACAAGTATTAGCATTAATCAAATAAGATGACTAATGTAATCATGTTAACAATCTATAATCAGATTGGAACCTCCTTTATGTGTGGTTTCCAATTGAATAATAAGAGTTTATACCATACTTGTTTGACATACCATTACTGAAACCTCTAACCTTGACATTTATTATTATCATTGTTTAATCCTTACATCAATATTCCATCTCAAAGTTCTCATCTTCTTCTTCTTCTTCTCCTTCTTTATTATTATTATTATTACTACTACTATTACTAGTATTATTATTATTATTATTATTATTATTACTACTACTACTACTACTACTAATATTGTTGTTGTTGTTGTTACTATTGTTGTTATTTATAATTGTTGTTTATAATTTGTACAATTAACCTCCTTGTGGTTCGACCCCGGTCTTACTGGGTTATTATTACTTCGACACTCCTGCACTTGAGAGAAGACATCAATCTTTTAGTCGTGTCACTAGTCCCTAGTAATCAAAGCGTTAAAATAGAAAAACAATTTGCGAATTCCACAAAGCAAGGTATTCATGATTTAACTTCCATTAACCTATCCAGATAAACAAACTCTCATTAAATTTACATACCAGCTCAATACCTCTTAACAAGATATTCATATAAACCTTTCTTTTGTGCTTAATGTATCAACACATAATTATGGGGCTTTTCTTGGAAGAAAACAAAATTTTTGTTCTAATGTTTAAGATTAACTTCCTTGAGTTGGGATTATTTTTTTCTTTTTTTTCTCTTTTTTTTTAATATATATACATATAATTTAAAACACCATGCATCTTTAACCCATGTAACGAGCTTTCAGCTAATGACTCCCAGACCAGTTGGTCTTAGGGCATTAGGTGTTAAGACACCCCTACGAGCTTAGTAACTCGGGTCGTAGATACTGATATGTAGATAGTGCAATGTTTGATTCTTTTAAACTTTTCTCCTCAACCCATGTAACAAGCGTTGGAGTAATTACTCCCAAGTCAGTTGACTTTAAGGTATTAGATGTTAAAACACCTATTTGGGCTTAATTGTTTAGGTTAGGGAGGCTACGAAACCAAACTTATCTATATTTTTATTATTATCATTTTTTTCTTTTTTTTTATTATATACTATCCCTTTCCCTTAGTTGTTACCTTTAACAAAAGAACATAAATAATGTAATAATCCAATATGCAACCCACAATCATATGTTGAAGTGTGTGTGTGTAAATTAAGGTTTAAGAATACATGTTAAATAAGTATATGAGCAGAATTACGTGATAACAATGCAAAAATTTGTAAATCTAAATACTTCAGGAAGTATTATAATAGACTTTGTTAAGAATGGTTACTAAGATGCATCTCAAGAGTCACTTTAACAAAAGAGCTCCTTTACTCTGACATCCTAGTAACAACAATTATGCACATGCTTTATGCAATAAAAAATAATTTTTTTTATAAACTACTACCCTCTCCCCCCAACCAAAATGAGACATTGTCCTCAATGTTTTAAGGTAGAAAGATAGAGTATAGAAGATATCACCTGAAATAACGAACACTAACAAACCTGAAACACTTAAACAAATATAAGAAACAACAAAACACAAATATCATGCTATTAATAAAACCAAAAGACATAAGTTTTTACAAACAAAAATTCAAATAGCAATTGTGATTGTGGCTCACATCTTTCCTTGGTTTTACGTCCAAGAACGACTTAAACACCCTCTATGGGTCGGGGATAGGCTTCCCATCCAGTTTTCTTAAAAACCGGCAAATAGGATCTTTTTTAGTCAGATTCCCAAGACTATGTCGAACATGTTCCTTATAGAATATTGGCCATAAATCATGAATTGCACGATGCTTATCTCGACTATGATGAGACTTAAGAGTCAATAGAAGATTATCTAAAGACTCTTTGTGTTTTGAAATAAATCCCACCTTTTGACAATTTTCACAGGTTTTGCGGAATGCATGTAATTCCTTTAATATGGTGGCCCAATAAAATCCACTCTGTAAGATTTCTACAATCCTCTTTTTTGAACAGAAATGATCCCCACGTGCCTTAGAGTGATAAAATTTAATGAAATTACTTACCTCATTGTCGAGAATGCATTTTTGAAATATTTGATCAGGACAATAATTGAATAAGTAAGGGTCATCCCAATAAAAATTTTGCACATTACTCAAAAATTTTCTTTTGTCTTCGGTACTCTAGTGAACTGGCAAAAATCCTGAAGCAAGAAAATTGATATTTTTAGCAAACCAAGGCATTGAACTAAGACAAAGTAATCATCGATTGGTGTGATGTCGGGTGTTGAATCTGTTGTCAATTTTGATAAAAGATCTGCATCAACATTTTCGGTGCCTTTTTCATCCTTGATTTCTTCCTGATTGGTCATGGCATGAGAAAATAAAAGTGCTGGAGCGGAATTAGTCTTTTCTTTCCAATGTTCAGATTCAACCTCTTCCTTACCCTTAGAGATTGACTCATCATCTTTCTCACAAGGTTCAAGAATTGGTTTTTGAATAACCTTACCACTACAAAGAGTGATGACTGATTTAACTTGATCCATGTGTTGACTTCCAACACTACTTACATTTGCATTGTATTGCCCCTTGGGATTTTGTTGTGTTTGAGATGGAAACTTACCTTTCTCTTGAAAACTGAGAGCATATATGAATTTTGCAAGAGTATCTTTAAAATCTATTATGCTTTGAGCAAGTTGAGTGTTGATTGTCTCTTGCTTTTCAATAAATGCATACAAAGTTTCCTCAAAATTTCTTGTAGGAGGTGGAGCATAAGGAGGTGCATATCCATAAGAATTTTGGAAACTATGGTGTGCTTGAAACTGTGGTGGTGAAGTTTGTGCATTGTCACTCTTCCAACTAAAATTTTGGTGATTTCTCCAACCAGGATTGTCACTCTTCCAACTAAAATTTTGGTGCTTGAAAATGGTGATTTGTCTTTTGAAAAAGTTTGTTCTATGAGATGGGAAAAACTTCTTTAAAAACTATTGTTGCATTTCAACCCTTACGAATGGATCCTAGTCTCAAATTTTATAGCCATGTTTTAGCTTTATCTTTTAATGAAAAAGGAAAAAGCTTTAATCTGATGGTGTTCATGCTACAATTTAAATTATTATATGTATTGCAAACCTCCTCAAATTCCCTTAAATGCAAGTATGGATTTTCCAATTCTAAGCCATGAAAAGAAGGTAAAAGTTGAATAATGTCCGGTTTAAAATTAAAATGAGATGCATCGAGAGGAAAAACTATGCATAATGGTGCACTTGTTCTTGTGGGATTCATGTGGTCTCTAAGTGTTCTAGCACGGTTATTCTCATTATAAAGTGATTGATTATCTTCTTCGGCTATATTTTCTGAAAATGATGAGGATACCCTACAAAGTCTACCACTTGATGTACATGACCACACTCTCATGCACGTGTAGGAATAGAATAAAAGGAAAAAGAAAACAAAAGAAAAAGAAATAAGAGAAAAGAAACAAAGCTATATACAAGAAAAGTGAAAAGAGAAAATAAAATAAATATTATAATTTATACAAAACTTATCTTCCGGGCAACGGCGCCAAAAACTTGACACGACTAAAAGATTGTTGTCTTCTCCCAAGTGCAGGAATGTCGAAGTAATAAATAACCCGGCAAGACCGGGGTCGAACCATAGAAAGGTTAATTGTACAAATTATAAATGACAATAGTAATAACAACAACAACAATAATAATAGTAATAACAACAATAACAATAATTACAATAATAACAGTAGTAGTAATAGTAGTAGTAGTAATAATAATAAAAGAAGAAGAAGAAAAAGAAGTTGATAAGAACTTTGAGATGGAAAGATTAACGTAAGGATTAAACAATGATAATAACAAAAATCAAGGTTAGAGGTTCCACTAATGGTATGTCAAACAAGTATAATATAAACTCTTATTATTCAATTGGAAACCACACAAAGGAGGTTTCAATCAGATTATAGATTGTTAACATGATTACATTAGTCATCTTATTCAATTAATGCTAGTGCTTGTAAATCTCGTCAAGCATTCATGATTATAACTTATGTTAACAACAAATCAAGTTCCTTTCATAGCTCAGGCGTCGGTTATACCATACAGTATAAACTATGAAAATGCCAAGCATTTGTTGTACCAAGTGTTATATAACATAAATCAAAATTAGTCATTTAACAAGCAAAGTATTAAAGAGTGAACAAGATAACAAATACAAAACACGTTAGTAGCAAACATTAAAGTCCATATTAAGTTTACACTATACTTATTCTTACACCATTAGTGTAACCTTTTCACCTTGACATAATAAACTTAGCTAGACATAATGAAAGAAAGAAAAATAAATAAACAAAATAAGAACATAAATAAGATAAGAGTTAACAAAGCAAAGGAAAGGAATTGAAAGGCATAAACTTGATATTAAGGAAAGCAAAGCATAAACATTACAAAAAATACAAAGAGAGAAAGCAAGAGCATGATCTTGATCTAGACACCAAGATGCCTAAATGCATGGTAAATGTCTTCTTTTATAGGCCAAAATTGAAAACTATTGATTTAATAACTAATTGATGAGTAGGTGGCCAACTCTTGACTTGGTGACAATCCTTATCTTCTAGAGTACTTAAAAGTGTATTTTTATTAAGATTTTATATCACCATTTTACACTTGAAGTATTATTAACTTTTTAACTAAAACATGTTTTATAATAACAAATCTGATACTATAAGATATATTTAATTTATGGTAAATATTCATCTTAAATGCCGACCTATCACATAAATAAAAGGATTGATTGATGAGTTCAACTATTATAATTCAATTTTAATCTTGTTAAATTATTTATTATTTCAACACTCTTATACTTTAAAAAAAATTATTTTAATCATGTCACCTAGCATGAGTTTGATGTTTGGATGACAAATGCAGCTCCTCCGTGGAGTCGTTTTAGTCCCTCGGGTTCCTACGGGTTATAAATCTTCCATGGGTAGGTACATTTTTAGCTTAAAGATAATGACTTTACAGAGAGCATGTAAAGAAAATGCTAGGAAAGAGGTGCGCCAAGATCCTCATCTACCCTATTCTCTTGGCATCTTTTGAGGAGGTGGAGCTGACGCCGTAGATGCAGAACCTGCCATAGCCACCACATTGGACAATGATATATTAGAAATTAACCCAGAAACAGAAAGATTCAGCAGGCATTAAGCCATTGATGACCATATCACCATCACAATCAAGGTAATAAAATGGAAGTCTGGAACATTCAGGTTTCCCTTTTATATCCATAAACCCCAATCACAACCAAACATGTGGCGAGAAAGACAACTCACACACAAAAACCAAAAGGCATGAATGGTGATCAGACTTAGTCTGTTCTCATGCCACATGATCATTTCTTTAGGATGAACCACAAGTTTTGTCAACCCTAACGGTCATTTGAAAAAATAGGGCAGCATGCTTCTGCTTTCCAAGTAAACAGACAAAGCAACACCAAGGTTTCAGTATCTACAATTCATATCTTTTCTTACATTTGTTTTGAACAGCTACCACTTGCAAGTAAATTACTGATTATGGCAACCGAAGCAAAACAAATAAATGTAGAAAGACAATACTTACCTCTTCTTGAAGCAAAATTGGGAGATGTTCAGTTGAAACCAGAGCGTGAATTTCTTGCAAAAGTTTCTCATCTTTGATACCAGACCATGTGACTGGAGGCAAAGCCAGTAAAAGTGCTGTTAAAACATCATTGCCAGCTGGGTGCATCCCAATGTGACTGCTTGGACCACAGCCACAACAAATCATTTTTGTTTGAGATGAAGGAACCAGCACATCAAGCCCCTGCTCACTGATACCATCTACCACTGTCCCCGAAATCAAAGTAATAGGCTTGTCACCATTAGCTTTCAAGCATTTCACACATTTTTCCTTACAGAAATACCCTTCCACAGAAGCAGACTTCCCAGCCAAAATCTCTGCCCCCTGGCAACAGACGCTTGCAGCGATATCAGGGAGATCCTCTTCTTGATCCAGAATTGGTACATTTCTGCAGCATGAATTTGATGAAGACAAAAATGCCACAACGTGTTTAAAAAGGTCGGTCTCCTGCACCTGCTTCAACACCTCGTCCTGCATCAAAAGGTTAGTTTTCAAAATTTTAAGAGCAAGAGTTTACAAACTGCAGACAAACATCCTGCTAGTTTACGAGAAAGAACTGAAAGGAGATGAAGCTATACAACACCTTGACAGAAAGCCTTCCTTTCTCCTCTTGGCTTAGACTTTGACCACCATCCTCTTGTCTCCGAATTTCTGCGACCCACTTGATGAAATCCCCAAAACTTGATGGGAGTGATAAGAAAACAACATGGAGAACTTTGTTGATATCTTTTACATCCTCTGACTTTAAGAGAAGAGGAACATCATCCATTAAATACTTTGCAACACCAACCCAACTCTCATGCTTGCAGCTCTGCACAAAGGTTTAAAATTGTTACAACAAACAATATAAATCATCTAAAATTTCAGGCATCTCGGGTCTTTTCCAAAACAATATAAAACTAGATGTTCTGAACAATTTAGGCAGGTGCTTGTCTGAGACAAACTCATTCTCGCATTCTACCCATGCCAGGCCACAAGTTTCTGCATAATTGCAGTGAAGCAAAATGGTGAATCCAAAATAACTTGCCTTACACCATTTAAAGCTGAATTGAGAAGATTACTTTTAGGAGTGTTTCTGAAATTGTATGTGCTAGCCTTCTTGATTTTTTTTTCTTTCTTTGTTTTTTTTTTTTTTTTTTTTTTTTTTTATATTGTATGATAGGGCATCCAAGTGCCACCACCATCAAGCATATAAAGGTTCAACTAAAACACTATATGTTCAATGGTTCTTTTTCTTCTATATCTTAGATGGGTATGAACATTGAATCTAACACACTAAGGCACTCTGTCCAGCATTAACATCCTCCAACCTTTTAAGATGATAAATCTATATGTCCCTTTAGCTCCACTCAGGGGTGGAGCTACAGCTAATGGCCCTCCCCAAGTTTTTTCAAAAAGCTAAATTTAGACCTTATATTTAAGGTTCCTACAATTACACCCCTCCAAAAATTTTCTTATTTAATTTATGATCCCATTTAGTTTAGTTTAATTACCAACATTCCCCCCCCCCCACCCCCTTTTTAATAACTGTAGCTCTGCCACACACACCAATATTAGAACAATGAAAGCAAAGTAGTTGCCTTTCAAAAAAAAATTCACAGACGGGTGGCGAGAAAACAAAATGCAACTAGCTACTAGCAAATATGCTCAAAATACAGCTTAGGAACTCTACTCCATAAACATTATACCAAAAATTAAAAGATACAAATAAATGTGGGGGAGGTTGGAAGGGCGGGCAGAAGGGTCAAACTATAAGGAACTAAACATCCATGGAAGTGCAGTGAGCATGTGCGCAGTAATGCAGTTTACACCATGAATGCCAGCAACTGTAACTATAATCGTACCAGGGTATAAAGCAGTCCTGGCTCTGTGTGAGGCCTCGATATTAACATGAACCTGCAACATAGGCAAATAGGGAAATGATGATGTCATACCAATTAAGTATCAAAGAAAAATAGATAATGGAAAACGCATCAACTTGGAAAAGACAACCAACAGAAAAAGGAAGATTGACAAAATGCAAAAGTAAATTGAAAAGTAAACTATTTGGTTTAGATCACTATTATATCAAGGTAGAGGACATCAGTGGGAATAATTGCCTCAACAATTTCTTGCAACCCTTTTGAGATAAAAACCCTTAGTTAATTAGTTTCAGTGTTTCCCTTTGGCCAAGATCAATGTATTAGATTCATACATGTAGAATGCCTCCGATGAATTTCACCAGCTGATATGTTGTCAATTTTAGGATCCAAATTGAAAGCTGGAAATGGATCTATCCAAAAAGTTTGTGGAGCAATGAAAAATTGATCCTGCTGCATAATTACCATATTTAGACATTGTCTTTCCATTTGAAAGCAAATTTGGCTTTTCACTGTATTCAATTCATTGTGATATGCCAATTATCAAATTTAGGTGGCGTCCACCAAGAGTTATAAATGTATCTGAGCAAAAACTCATACCCTCTTCGTTGTGCAGTTGTCTCATCAGTTCTATCCATTGCTTCCCAAAGAAGTGTTAGTGGAACCCAATGAGGAGGATACTTGAACCGCGCAACATCTAAAATCAGTGCCATGTCCCTCCCAGCATGATAACCACCAATAGGCGAAAAATGACCAGTTCCTGTCTGGAAATTAAAAAAAAAAAAGTTCCCAAAAAATTCATGCTAAATTTATTACTGGAGTAGGCATATAAGCAACAAAATAATAAATGAAATTATCGATGTTAGTATTCTTTTCCTATTACACACCCAAATAACAAAAACATCAGAGGTAATGTAGATCCACCCTGTTCTGCCATTAAACCTTTAACAAATGTAGCAAATTGTAGCATAAACAATTATGAAAAAGATTCAATCAACTTAAAGATGAATACCTGTTTAAAAGTTCCTCTATGATAAGACGAGATCAAATGGCAATCATCAGAAGTTGAACATCTCATAATGTGTACACGGAAGTCATCTATAGTGCTTTGATTTGTTCGATACGCTTCAACTTTAACCCCAGCACAGTGAGCCAAACACACTAGCTTCCCAAATGAGATACCCTTAGCTTTAACCTGTTCTAAAGGCTCACAGCAGTCTAGCATAGATTCATCAAACCACCTCCAAGGTCCTGCCAGTAACAGACCACCTTCTAACACATTCTTTGTGGTAACTCAAAAACCGAATCAATTCAGATAGTCCTAACAAGGGTCATGCTAGGGGTACTAAATTGTTTTACTAGGTTTTGCTACTAAATGATGTGGCATCTATTACAAGGAATGAATTTCGTTATTTTTTTGCTTATTAGCATGGTTTTTAAAAAAAAAATTAGTAAAATAACATCCTTTGAAAAAAAAAATTTGGTGAAATAGCACAGTTTGGGCATGTCACAATTAGGAAACGTGACATTCAACCTCATCACTATTTAGAAATGCAACGTTTCAAAAAACAAATTGTGAAAGTGAGTTGCACAAATTATAATGAGGAGAGAAGAGAGAAGAAAATATAAATAAAAAATGACATTCAATTTTTCTTCCCCTCTCTTCTGTAATAATTTGTACAGCTCATTTCATAATTTCTTTGAAATGACATGTTTTTGAATAGCGACGAGGTTGAATGTCGTATTTCTCAACTACAACATGTATAAAATATGCTATTTTGCCAATTCTTTTTCGAACAGTATTGTTTTTCCAATTTTCTTAAAAAAATGCTAATTTTTGAAAAAAATCAAGAATCTCAAATCATGGATGGAATATCTTATCACATTTAATGGGAAAATTATTATAAATATAAAATTGATTGGTTGATAAAACACAAATTGCATGATGTCACGTCACTTAGTGTTTCAGTTAAAAAATAAAAATTATCTCTAGCACCATCCGTCCTAGCAAACCACTGGCAATCCTACTAGCCCCAAACTAATCTACAAAAAGACATTACCGCCATGAGTACAAATCATAAATAAAAATTACCTTTCCATTTCCTCCCAGGATCAATAGCTAGGGCATTCAGGACCATAGAAAGACTTGCCAAACCACAATACGCAGGCTCCGACTGTGTCTGGAAGTAAGAAATCAACCTATAAAAACCTTCCATCGTTCCATTTTGAATTGCTTCCATAAAAAGTTGCTGCAATCCACAATTTTGCACTAATTAGAAAAACATAACCATAAAAAAAAATTCAAATCATTACAAAACACAAAAAATAAAACCACACGGATCACACAAAAAATCATGCAAATAAAAGCTAGTAAATAAATTTTATAGTACTTAAAATTTACAAAACCACACGCTATATAATCTCACCAAAAAATCTAATTTTTCTCTAATTTCTAATGAAAAATGAAAAAAATGAAAAAAGTAGAAACACCAGAAAGGATTACCTACCTTTCCTTCGGCGGAAGCGAAATCGATGGCAGGAGGAGAAGGGAGGATTCGACGGTACAATCCAGCCATGGCCATTTTTTAACTTTTCCAAAAACTAATTAATAGCAGTAATAAAGTGTGTGTGCGTTTTTTGGAAATCAATTGCTAAATAAAAAGAAAGAAATCGTTGATTTCGCGCAGTTAATGATGTTTCTTCAATCGAAAAAGAATTTCTTCTCCGTCCAGAGAAGACTTTATTGATTCGCCGTTAATGAATGCCTTGCCGTATTTGTTTCCACGGCTTTGCGTGGTTTTTAAGAAAATTGAATTATTGTTTTAAAATTATTTTTTATATATATTTTTAAATAATTTTAATATATATATTAAAAATAAATTAAAAAAAAATTAAAAACAAATATATATTATTTTTAAATGAATTATACTTTAAAAAATAATTGTGGTAATTCTATTATTAACTGCCATAAATTTTAATAATTTTAATTTTTTAAAAAAAAAAAGCCGGCAGCAACAAAGCCATAAATTTTAATAATTTTAATTTTTTTTTAAAAAAAGGCCGGCAGGTTACGTGTTTTTTTATTATATATATAAATAATAAATCTTTTTTTATTAGATTATTATTCATTATTTTAGTATAATTGTATTTTTTAAAATTTTTAATTTTTTCTAAAATATATTAATATTAAATATAAATTTTTTAAAATAAAAAAAATATATGTTGTTTTAATAGAAAAATTTAATTCTTGATAGTCTCCTCCAATTTTAAATATATTAAGTAATAATATGAGTCCTAACTCAAAAGTGTATAAACGCTTAAATTTTTAGCTAAATCGATGTCATATGAGGGAGATATGATTTTTTTTAAAGATGACAACTGAATTCTGCCAGCAAACAAGTTTCATGAAGAAACGAGTCCAAATTACGTTTCGAAGCATCTAAATTGGAAAGGCTATTTATTTTTTTTTAGAAAAATAGTTATTGAAGTACTTAAATGTAAACTATCTACTTAAGGAGGACTATTTTGTAAAATAGAGACTAGGGTTTCCTAGGATATAAAAAGAAGGAGAGAAGAGAAGGGGAAAACTAGCCAAGAGGATAAAAACGCCCCCCTCCTCTAAGAAACTCTAAATTATGCATTCTTCCTTCTTTTTGATTAATTGTTTAACAAACATGCAAGGCTAAACACTTTGTCTTGGTTACAAGGACACGAAAACCTTTGGATTTCAAGAACTATGAGATTTATTTTATCTTTTCTTTTCAGTTTATATGATGAATATGTTTGTTCTCATATGCTTATTTTTCCTATGATTATTTATTTTAATTGTTAGAGTGGACTTTAAGTTATTATTGTAGACAATCTATTGCTAAGTTTGACATCAAAACCGGAGTTGTAATATACAAACTTGTAAAGCAACTGAGTTTAATAATTGTAACTGATCTATGTTATTAATTTGAAGGAGAACATTTAATCAAATCAAACATAAACTGTGGACACTTATGTTTTCTTGATTAATCAACATATCTAGTTCTTAAAGCTGCCATTGAATTAAATTACTATTGTAGACACTGTGGTTGTTTGATGGTTAGGGTTAGTTATACAGTGAATCCGTTAACTAACCAATGTTAAGAAGAGATAAATATTCAGAATATAAATTGATGTTTCATTTTCATGATCAGTTCTGATTTTTGTAAATGGATATGTGTTTGCGACCAAGGTTTGTTCTCTTTATAATTTTTTGATTTTATTTAATTTCGCTTGATAGTTTTCTAATTTCTTTTGCTTTAGCCTAAATAACATCCAAAACCTCCTAAGTTGCATATCATCTAACATAAAAATTTGACTTAAACCTTCTTCGTGGGATTTACCCCTTGCTTACTTTATATTATGTGTTGTATTTTAAGCTAGTGTAATTAATTTGTGCAACCACGACATCGCAATAAATTTTGGCGTTGTTGTTGAGGAAGTAATTTTAGTTGATTTTTATGCTATTATTTTTATTTTTTATGATTTTTATTTCTTTTTCTAAAAAAACAGAATTTTTGCTTGTTATGGTACTATTCATTATACCAGCGGTACTATTCAAAATAGATTTTTTGGTAGAATTAGGTATCGGTCTTTTATTTCCTAAAGGGAAATGACGTTCTAAATAGGACTAGTGGTAAAACACTAGCCCCACTCTATCAAGGCTAAATTCCACTGTTTTCTATGGTTTTTAGGCAGTTTTAGTTTTTTAACATAGTATTTTCGTACAATTTGCATTGTTTTTTTTTATCTCTTGTATGATGGTTTCTTTTGATTTTTCTTAATGATTTATGCCAATAACCCGTTCTACTAATCAAAATAGAAAAAACTTTACATGGGTTACGAAAGGAAGCTCGCCTCAACATCATGGCTGTTGCACGACAACAAACAGTCAAGGAGCTTGTTGCTCCTAACATGGAAATTCAGCCATTGTGCATAAACTTTGACAATAATATAAACTTTGAACTCAAATATGGTTTTATGTATTTGCTACCAACATTTAATGGTTTTACAGGAGAAGATCCTCATACTCATCTCAAGGAGTTCCATATGGTTTGTGTTGGCATGAAACTGAATGGAGTTGACAAAGAAAAGATTAAGTTGAAAGCTTTCCATTTCTCTTTAAAAGGGGCAACAAAGGCATGGTTTTTCTCCATTCTTCCAGGTTCAATTAGAACTTGGAATGACATGAAGAAGATCTTCTTTAAGAAGTATTTCCCAGGATCTCGAGTTGCTAACATAAGGAAAGAAATATGTAGGATTCGATAATCTTATAGAGAGACACTTTCCAAGTATTGGGAAAGATTTGAGCAACTGTATATTTAATGCCCTCATCATCAAATACCCGATCAGCTGCTCATTCAATATTTCTAGAAAGGATTGATGCCTACTAACCATAGTATCATTGATACTGCAAGTGGAGGGGCATTGGTAGATAAGACACCCAAGGTCGCACACCAATTGAACTTAAATATAGCAGCCAACTCAAAACAATTTAACACTCAACAAGACTTCACAAACAAACGATTAAATAAGGTATGTATTTCTAACCTTGAAAATAAAGTTAATGATCTTACTTCTCTTGTACATTCTTTGGCTTGTAGAAATGTACATGAGGTAAAAGTTTGTAGCATATGTTCCTTACAAGGACATACCTCAGATATATTCCCAACAATGTAAGAAGAGTACATTGAACAGGTTCAAGTAATTGATGGAGGATTCAACAAGCAACCCTAGTGTAAATATAATCCCTTTTCTAACACGTATAATCCTGGATGGATCGATTATCCATACTTAAGCTATGGGAACCCAACTCAACAAGACAATTAAGGCTGACAATTCTATCCCCATGGATTTCAGCCCCAATAAAATAATTAAGCAAAACAACCCCCTTCATTCATAAACTCCAATGTTATGAGGTTCTCATCCAATGATGATCTTCGTGAGATGATGAAAACTTTGGCCTCTAACACTGTGACCTTATAGCAAAATATCATGTCTTTCCAACAGGAGACAAGGTCAAGTATTCATAACTTGGAGAAGCAAATAGGGCAAGTAGCTTTAAATATGGGGAAAAAACACAAATGAATAAAAAATTATTCTCCCAAGCATCGAATCCATTAGAGAATGTTAGTGCGATCATGCTGCGAAGTGGGAAAGAACTTGAAGAGAAAAAGCTCAAGACAAATTGAGATGGAGGAAGAAGAAGACAATGAAGCCAAATTATGTACAAAGAAAGAACATCCTCCTATGTGTATAATGGGAATGATAATCCATCTCGTAAAGGTAAATCTAATATGCAAGAGGATTTAGATGGTCCAATGACAAGAGCTAGAGCAAAACAACTACAAAGGGCCTTGACGAGTTAAATTGGAATGATTGAAGCTGCGTCAAAGTTAAAAATTAGCAATTAGTTTCAAATTGGTTCAAGGCTGCTTATTTGCCTACAATTGGAACTTAAAAATGGGAAGAGCCCTTAATGGTTCTTTTGATGCTGGGCTACTTGAATTTGGGTTGATAATGTAAATAAGTTAAGTATGGGGAGTTTCGGGTGGCAAAGCAAGTTCTTGTACCTTTTTCTATTAAAACCTATAATGACGAGGTTTTGTGTGATGTTGCGCCGATGTCAGCTAGCGATTTGTTACTAGGTCGTCCATGGCAGTTTGATAAGGATGTGACCTACAATGGACGAAAGAACACTTATTCTTTCATGCTGAATGGAAAGAAGGTGAACTTTTTACCATTGAGTTATCAACAGGTTAGAGAGGATCAGTTACGAAGCCAACAGAAGGAGGTGCAATCACGTAAGGGGCTGTTGTTAGCTAAAAAAAGAGATATCAAACAAGCATTAGCTTCGACGGGGGTTGTTTTCATGATTTGGGTAAAGCAATTACTACAAGTAGAAGGATTGGACTTACCAAGATAGATTAAGAAATTGCTTAAAGAATTTAAAGATGTGTTTCCAGATGAATTACCTGAAAGGTTACCGCCTATACGTGGAATTGAGCATCAAATTGATTTGGTGCCGGGAGCTTCACTTCCTAATAGACCAACATACAGATGTAATCCAAAGGAAGCAAAAGAGAATCAAAGGCAAGTTGGTGAGCTCGTAGAGAAGCGCTATGTGCGAGAATCACTTAGTCCATGTTCCGTACCTACTTTGCTTGTACCAAAGAAAGATGGTACCATGAGGATGTGTATGGACAGCCGTGCTATCAACAAAATAACAGTTAAGTATCGATTTCCTATACCCAAAATAACAGTTAAGTATTGATTTCCTACACCCAGACTTGATGATTTACTTAATGAGTTGCATAGTACTGCATTGTTTTCTAAAGTCGATTTGATGAGTGGTTATCATCAAATTAGAATGAATGAGGGAGATGAATGGAAAACAACATTTAAAACTAAACAGGGGTTATATGAATGGATGGTAATGCCATTTGGGTTATCTAATGCGCCTAGTACATTTATGCGGCTTATGAATCATGTTTTGAGGAAATATATTGGGCTGTTTATTGTAGTATATTTTGACGATATCCTAGCATATAACAAGACCTTTGATGATCATGTGAAGCATCTTAGAGTTGTGTTTAAAACTTTGCGAGATTCTAAGTTGTATAGGAAACTCACAAAGTGTTACTTTTGTAAAGAAAGTGTCGCGTTTCTTGGATATATTATCTCTAGCGAGGGAGTTAAGGTTAATGAGGAGAAAATTGAGGCAATTCGGGACTAACCAAAACCTGTTAGTATTGCTGATGTGA